GCCTTAGCAATAGAAGAACACGACGGGAATACAAAAAGAGGAATTACTTACCTAGAAATTCAACACAATTTATTTCAATATCCGTTCTATCACCATCTGCAGACAAGGGCAAGTCCTCAATCAGGCTGCGTAGAACATAAGGACCATTTTCTTGAACTCTTCGTTTCCTTTTCCTTGAATTCGCAATATCTTCCGGATCATTTGAAGCCATTTTAAAGGGCTTACTATGAAGTTATAATTATCATGGCCAATGCAAAAGTACTCACTCATGGCCGTTGAGCTGCTTTTGCGGCGCATTGGATGAAAGCTAGTTATCAATGGTTTGGTCTGCTTTGGTTTAGGCTCTCGTGCCCTGTGGGAAGCGTAATAAGGCTGCGATTACAGGGATGCTCACTCGCCAAGGTATACCCTGAACTTCTGAAGTCTTGGCTTATCCAATAAGCATTAACGAACACCTTGCAGCTTGCGTGTGAGACGAGGCATCATATCAGTATTAATATTAATGCTGTGATGTGAATACTTGGAGGCTTAGATTCATCCTACGAGACCGATTCCTTCATTATATGACAATAAATAGCTTCCACAGAGAATTTATGATTTTTACCTTAGACATATTCCAATTCCACCACTAAATGGTTATAATCCTTTGCATGTCGATATTACAATGACCGACTTCGCAGAATCAGCACTGGCAGCTTCGGTGTCAAGCCCTCCATCTCCGCCCGCAGATCATGTAGCTTCAGGACAAGATGGGGACAATAAGTTTCAAAAGGCAATCTCGGCATGGAGGAGTGAGTCCCTGATGTTCCATAGGACTTCAATACTCGTGCTAATCATTAACAGCAATCGACCTTACCTCCATGATCCCGTCCCTTGACAACACCGCATCAGAAATTGTTCAGTATCAGAGAGACTCAACCGTGCAGCGCAAGGAATTGGCACAAAAGACGAAGGATTTCCGGAAGTTAGATGACACAAATAAGCTTTCTGAGATCAAAGGGTTATTGAAAGGTTGGTATATCTCAAAGTTCACAATGCATTGCCGTACTGACACAAATCTCTACCATAGCATACCAGACCTTTATAGATCTCCTCACAAACCACTCAAAGTCTACGAATTCAGCTTTCCTACAAGTATACTCGTCCTTATCCGAGGCACCAGATCCATATCCTTTGCTTGAAGCATCTGTCGATTCCCTTCTGCTATCTGAGGATACACTCCCTAAGATTACACAGGAAAATGAGCATCTTCAGAAAAGTGTCAGCAGGCTCACGAGCCAGTTGGAGGATACGGAATCCAGATTAGAGACCGAAAGAACTGCGCGCAAGAATCTAGAGGAAGGCTTGGAAACTAAAGTGAAAGATGTCGAAACTTCTTGGGCCGCTGTTCTGGAAGAAAAGAAGGACAATTGGGAAGCGAAGGAGAAATCACTGGAAGAGAAGGTGGAGAATCAGGAGCGCCTATTGAATGAAATCAAGGCGAGCTACGAGGTCAATCAGCGTCTGGGCCAATCCGAGAACGCAGAGGATGGGAGTCGCGGGCATGTTACAAGTGCGGAATTGGAGATGGTCACATCTGATTTGGAACGTACAAGCGTCCGTTTAGCAGAAGTTGAAGCTCGAAATGAACAACTCCGAATAGAATTAGCTCAGTCGGCTTCCCAAGTCCCAAGTCAGCCAGCACTGGCTTTGGAAGACGAGCCAGCCTACATGCGCTTGAGATCCGAAAATTCATCGTTATTGAGGAAATTAGACGCAGCAAGAGTTGAAAGGGATGCCAAAAAGCGAGATCTCGATACCAAGCTTCGAAGTCTAGAGAGAGAAATTGGGATGCTCAAAGAAGACCGCGATTCATTGAAGACTAAAGTTCAAAAGTGGAGCGATTATGAGGATGTCAAGCAGGAATTGGAAGTTTTGAAGAGTATCGAATTTTCTATGGGCGACGAGGATGAAACACAAGACAGCGGGCTCAGTCCCAATGTCCCGGAACCTACGGGAAATGGCTCATCTGGAAAAGCGAAAGGGGAGACATTGGAGCAACTCCTTCTTGCAAGAAACAAAAAATTGAGTGATGAGCTCACAATTTTAAGAGTTTCTCATCAAGATTTGCAAAGTCGCTTGCAAACGATGCAGGAAACTCTTTCTACGACAAATGCCGAGTTGGAAAAGGCGCAGAATCTGGTTGCTACATTAGAGAACGATTTGACAAATATGCAAAACGGGGTCAGCGCATATCCTTCTGCTCCTTCCGTTGCTGGAACATATACAAGCCGATATCCTCAATCAGCAATCGGTCAGTTTGCGTCGAGGAATCGCAGGATATCCCCCACATCATCAATCATATCTGGATTTGATCCCAGGACGCCCATGGGCAGCACACCTGTGGACGTCCTTAGATCGGGCGAGCCTGTAGGGGGAGGCTCTGGTATTCTCCCCATGATTACCGCTCAGCGTGATCGATTCAAGAAACGTAACTCAGAATTGGAGAACGAGCTTTCTGAAAGCCACCGCACGGTATCGTCACTTCGACAGGAAATCTCTGCTTTGCAAAAGGATAATCTGAACCTGTATGAAAAGACAAGATACATATCAACATACAATCGAGCAGGGCCAACAGCTTCATCGGCCTCATCTTATGCTACCAACCCCAATCCATCTACAGTTCAGATTTCCTCATCAACTTCTTCTGGACTTGCATTAAATCGATACCGTTCAGCATACGAATCAAATATATCGCCTTTCGCGGCATTCCGTGGGCGAGAATCGGCTCGCGCATATAAACGTATGAGTCTACCCGAAAGGATAGTCTTCTCAATCACCAGAATGGTATTAGCGACTAGGACTAGTCGAAACCTCTTCGCCGGTTATTGCGTGGCTCTTCATTTGCTGGTATTCTTTTCTTTATATTGGTTAGGTGGTGTGGATGTAGATCAACATGGAAGTCATCTAGGCCAAGCGGTTGCAGCTGCTGGAGGTGCGAAAGGACTTGCTGATTCTGCGGCGGACGCGCAGCATGGAGATTGGCACCAAGAAGGATTTGATGGGAAGGTTTCTTGATGATTGATTAATGGATTGGAAGGATGTGTAGTACTATCATGTGATAATAGAGGCCATTTGGCAATTTGTTCTAATACATTGAAGGTTCCAGGATTTGTCATCGTTCATTTTTGCCGTTTCTTCCGTATGGACTAAGATATGATTTTTATACGGTTCTTGTTAAAGTCATATGGCCGCGGCCGTCTAATTTCCTGGAAATGTATAAGACTTTCTTGACCTTTCCCAGGCCATTCCTTCCAAGAAACTAATACCGGGAGAGCTAATCCCTAAATGTGGAGCCATCTATCATCTTATCGTCCAGCTACCTAAATCACGAATACACTTCAATTCGTCTAATTGGCCATAAAATCTACATCTTGTTTACCACATGCTCTTCATTGGCTCTGGTCATAGCATTCGATTCAATAAACTTACCGCTTGTACATCTTTGGCAAGTCTGGGGGATAAATATAGATCTTTTAGATCTGAATTTTACTCGGTTCGATAGGATATATTATGGAACTAGAGAGACAGACATAAGCGCTCGGATTGGGGAGACCAATCGGGGATATTAGAAGCTTTGATGCCAAAAATAATTTGCAGATGGAGATGAAGAAAGCACGCGCAGATTTTAGATTCGGTTTTTTTTTCTTGGGAGATGGATTGGGAGAAAATGGCCTGATTTTAATGGGACTGGTGTTTACTATGTTTTAAGTAGTTTCATGGATGAAGATGATCAGCATGGCAAGTTGGATATAGATTTCGATAGATATCGCGGCTATCGGATCTTGGGAATTGGGATGGCTTGCTTGGATGTGTATTATCGATGCTAATGCTGATGCTGATTTGATGTAACATGCTGTCAAACTAATCGCATATCTAAATGCTGGTTAGGGTTGGTGGTACTACGTCTGATCATACCATGTGCTCCTGCTCTATCTTCATTAGATTGTTCTACAAGATGTTGTACAATATTTATTTGTTGTTCACGCATACATAGCAAGGAATATGGGATCATTGCATATTGGTCTTCATACCTGAATGGGAAAGAGATCTAAAATGTAAAGTAGCCAGCATATTCTAAACTGATGGCCATGGTCATAAGACAGGCTAAAGGAACAATAAGACTAGGAACCATGACAGGCCTTGACCGAAGAATATCAGAACCTTGATTGAAAAATACTCCGAAGGATTCAGGCTACTCTACCAGTTCTTCCTCATGTAATCATTCATTCCGTTATCCATGGACTCGGGCCAGGAGATCTGAATTCTCAGTCATTTTAGCTGGTGGTTATCTTGTCATGAATACCGAGGAAAAGGTTACTACAGCCACCAAACCTTCTAAATGATATGAGAACTAACTGTTGGACCTGCGTCTCGTAACTAATCAAAGGTTTCACGAAGAAGAGAGAGAGAGAGAGAGAGAGGAAGATCTACATCTGCAGTAAGAATTAAGGACAAACCCCCCCACCAACCTCTCCCAAATATCTAATTCGCTATCCGTTTCGATAAACCAAAAATGGTAACATAACGACCCTAGCGCAATCAATCTGCCTTTTTGTCGCTTGTGTACCCTTCCCCCATATGCACCAAGCTCTCTTTAAGCGGATCGACATCCAATCTAATCCATCCAATGAACATTAGACTTCAAACTTCCGTCGAGTGAAAAATGATCAAGAACCAATCAATCCCCAATCTGAAGAATGGTTAGACACTGCAATGCAACAGTTACATGAGACCCCTGCGTATAAGCCAGGATAAATCTGCAAAAAAACAAGGATCAAATAGACTTTTCACCACACAATCTACCCCCCGGTTTCTTTCAACTGGTCCGTGGGGCCTGTCTTGCCGCCAAACCAAAGATTAGTTCGGTCTGGGGGATACAACCTCTTCTTAGTACTTTCCTTAGGGTCAATTAAAAAGAATAGTTACATATCTTGCGTACATGGTGGTAAGCGGCTGTTTTCCAGGATTAGCATCATGGGAAGGGAAATCCAATGGATATTGACAATCGTGCCGTTCTGTTTGATGGTATAAGACGCCTACTGAGCGCCTGTGAGATATGAATTTGGAAGTCCAGTTATTCATTGAACAGTTTGAACTCTCGGTGCGCTTAAGAAGTTCGATTATCGATCCGTTAGTTCTTTGTTTCGATTGGGATTCTAGAGTCTATATATCCGGCATATTATCGAGGATTGGTTTCGGTTCATCATATTTTATTTATCCATCCTTTTCATAAAGTGTGGAATAGACGTCTCTGTTTCTTTCCTTTGGGGTCGCTTTCCGCTTGGTTATTTCTTGAATTTCTTACTTCTTGTTGAGTCTTACGAAGCGCAGTTCTTATTCATCATGGTTTCTTCGTCGTTTCTTTGGGCCATCTTTGCTCTGGGAGCAACGGCTCTTCCGGCCCCTACCTATACTTTTTCATCCGGTGCTGCCCATCCCGCCGAAAAACAAGTCATATCCGAATACTTCGACATGTTGGGTCAGAAAGTCCAAGCAGGAAGGAAAATGTCTCATGCTCCTGTGTGCAATCTCAATACCGCAGCTCAACCAGTTCTACGTATGTTCTCGGCTTTCTTATCGCCATATAAGATTCCAGAATTAACCCAATTCCACAGATCCAACACCTATGCCCGATCCATCCACAGGTCTAATCCTCAAGCACGTCGCCATCGGTCGCGGAACTCAAAACTACACATGCGGCACCAACGCAACAGCAGCACCCACCGCCGTCGGCGCAGTAGCAACCCTTTTCAACGCCTCTTGCGTAGCAGCAACCTATCCTGATCTCCTCGCCCTCCTCCCTAACGTCGCTCTCCAATTCGATCTCAACCTTGTTGCATCCTCTACTCAAAATCTCCATCCCGCCGATCTCATGATGAGCGGACATCATTTCTTCACCAATTCCTCGACGCCATTTTTCGACTTGAACACCAAGAATTGGAAATTAGGTCAAGGAGGATTCGCAAAGAGCGACGCACTTGCTGCTCCGACCGGTGCATCGGTGGGACAGAATGGACAAGGCTTTGGAGCTGTCGCGTGGTTGAAATTAGCAGCGAGAGATGGGGCCACTGGGGGCTTGTCGGAGGTTTATAGAGTCAATACTGCGGGAGGAAACCCACCGACTACTTGTCAGGATAATCTATCGAGTAGTTTCGATGTGCAGTATGCTGCTGAGTACGTACCTTATTTCCTCACTTCAAGTTTGGTCAAGAGCTAACACAATCTAGATACTGGTTCTACGAGGAGGAATAAATATCTATCTATATCCCCATCCATCTACACAAACACACACGTACGCACACACACGCACGCATACACAGAACAAAATCTCAACTACACATCACAACGAACGGATGAATCTACGGAGGGCCGATCTAGAAAGATGAAAATCGGCGGACATAATGAATTATTTTCTTTACACTCATTCAATATCACTGCATATGGGCGGCGTCCTGGTCTGCATACCTATTACTATTTGATTTGCTACGGTGGCTTTGGTACATTTTTGGTTTCGATATCCCGCTGGAAAAAAGGAAGTCGTACAATTCGATTCGATTTGACGGAACAGGTCAAGGAGCCTCAAGAATAATGAAATAAAATGATTTTAAAATCCGCTGTCTACTTCTTTCTTACTGACATTGTTGAAACAAAAGGCTATATCGAATGTGAAACCTCGGGATGGTGCGTACATTATTGTTAGTACTTATCCTGTCAGGTATATTTTTTCATCTGGACTTTGATCCTAGGGCCCGAAAGCAAGGTTCAGACAGCCGATACCCAAGTTCCCCTATTCCAACCTTGACTGTATGAAAAATAGATCTTAAGCACTCTCGCCTATTTCTCCCACGAATGTCAACGTAAAAGGCATGATAACCAAGTACCTTAATGCATATTATATTGTCTGGACTTCTCCTACTTCCGGGGGCTGGGCTCAAGTATCGAGTTGAGCCAAATTTGAAACTAAACGAAAGAAGGATGGAAACAATCAAATCTACTATACAATTCACTTCATTTTATGAACAGATACTTGGCCATGGAGCAATCTTTCAGATAAGAACTTTTGGGGGATAATATATGCAATTCTTATTGCCTTTATCCTCGAATGTCCAGTCTAATATACATGCAGCTCAAAAACATTTTCCCTTTCCCAAACCAGCTAATTTTATGCATAATATGATGATGTGTGGTATCGCCTTCGTCGAATTATCATTTTACTGTCTTATCATATTTTCCTACTTCCTAACCCATCATCCACGCGCGAATCATATTCAGATACCTCTCGACTAAATCTACTCGTCATCATCATCCGCTACCGCCGTCCCCGCCATTGGGGTATCATTATCCTCGTTTGCCGTGTTTGGAGAATCTTCTTGGTGAGTAGCAGCGACAGCGCTAGTATCAGCCTCGATATCTTCATCATCATCGTCTTCAATTACACCTCTTCTACTCTTCCTTGTCGTCTTAACGACTTGTTCTTCCTCGTCACTGTCGCCACCAGCGGTGGTAGTCTGACCATTTGTTGCCTCCTGCATTTCAACATCGTCTCCAGCCTCACCCTCCATAGCCTTTCTCGCCTCATCAGCTCCATCATCCCCATCACTGTCACTCTCCACCACGATCTCACTACTCTTATATTTGCCTTCGTCTTTCTTCTCTCCTCCCTTCTTAGCAAGTCTTCTCTTCTTAGTCTTTGGCTTTTCCTCCTCGCTCCCACTACCCCTTCTCGCTTTTCTACTCTTCCTTTGTGATCTACTACCTCCCTCCTCCGCGCCGGAATCCTCATCATCGGTAATTCCATCCTCCTTCTTCTTGCGTTTCCCGCCACCCGATCTACCTTTGGGAATCTTCTTCCTTTTAATCCTCTCACCAGTCTCACTATCCGTAGTCATGTCCGCGTTTTCTCTGGCAATATCATCAGCAGCTCTTGCCTGAGCCAATTCACGATCTCTCTCTGCAATCTTCTGTCTCTCTTCCGCGATCTTTGCTTTGCGTTCATTTTCCGCCCTCACAGCTGCTTCGCGCACCTCCTCTCTTCTCCTCAACTCGGCCTCTCTCTGTTCCTTTGCAGCCTGAATCTTTGAAGCGTTCTTTTCCTCGTACTCTTTTTGCGCTTGAATTGCACGTTCCAATTGACGACGCATTGTGTTTCGCGCCATGTTAGCACGTTGTTCAATGTCATGTTTAGGATATGGTGGATTAGAATGTTTAGCAATAGCGTCAAGAGCTTCGATAGCATCTTCGAGACCCTTGGCTGCACCTTGGACTTCTTCAAGGGACCTTTGAGTTTCTGGCAAGTTGTAAATCATAGTCGCTAGTTGAAGCTGTACAAATGCAACGTTGAACTTGTAGTGGACCTGCTCGGGGGAAATCTCAAGAGCCTACAAATTATTAGTATTGAAACATGAATGTCTCCTTCTCAAGAAAGTAACATACCTTTATTGAGTAATCAAGCGCACTCTTAAACGACGATAAGCTCTTATCACTTTTTCCTTTCGACAGCCAAGTTCGTCCCAAACAAGTCAAGATGTGACTATCATGAGCCCGATCTTTCGTTAAAGCTGCTTCATAATGTTCAATAGCCTTGGAATATTGTCGCGACTCTGCAAATATGTGACCGAGATTGACGAATACACTTGGGTCCTTCACTGTGTCTCTTACCTTCAAAAAGATAGGAAGGGCGGTTTTAGAATCCTTTTTGTCCTCCACAAGTGCAATTGCTATACCCTGAGCAGCATAAGCACTTTTAGGGTCCAGCTGTAAAGCTTTATCGAAGAATTCGACCGCTTTCGTGTAGGTTTTACTTCGGGCTTGCTTGTCTGACTCGGAATCACGACGCATCTCACGAGCAGCCATGAGGTTGAGGTTACCCATACCAATCAAGGCATATCTATCATGCTTGTCATACTGTTGCAAAGTATGCTTGTAATGACGATATTCTAAATCCTCGTTGACATTGCTAGGTCTCTTTCGGGAGGGAATACGTCCTAGATACCACCCGTACAATGCTCGAACCTCAAGATCAGCAGAAGACTCTTTATATAGAGCGGAAACAGCTTTGGGTCCTTCTTCTGCTCGGTCCCGACGCAGCGCGATGTATGCCAAACGTGTTTTAGCATCAGTATAATCACTGTGACGGCCCAACAACCCTTCATAGACCGTCTTCGCTTCGTCAGGCATACCGCTAGCCTCATACGTACGTCCAAGGTTGAAACTGATAGTAGTGACCAATGCATCAGTGTCCATGCCTTCAAGCTTTTCACCAGCTTTAACACAAGCATTCAACGCAGCTTGAAACATCTCGCGAGCTAGATCATACTTCTCGGATTGATAATAGAAGCATCCGATATTGTTAAGCAGTTGAGGGGAAAGGTTTTCGCGCATAGCATTCTTGTATGCAACTTCATCGTCTGTCTCCTCTGGCTTATCCGCAGCTGGGATCTGATCAAACTCGATTTGCTCGACTTGCTGGAGACATTGCAAGCTTTTCTCGGGTTGTTCTGTTTCGTAAAGTCTCGCAAGATTGAGAAGAACCGACGCATCAGGAACAAGATTCTTCTTAGGATCCTTCCATGCTGTACGGACATTTTCAAGATAACCGACAGCCTTCTTGTATTCCGTGGTTTTATCTTCTTTGACTCCGCTCTCCTGGCTGCTGAACACCTCTTCTGCATACAAGGTGCCCAGTAAAATCATGGCCTCAATGTTCTTTGATTGTTGGATGATTTTCTCGAGTCGTAATTTTGCTTCTCCAAAATCGCCTTTCAGGACAGATAATTGTGCAGCTCCAAACTTGGCAGGCATATATCCCCTGTCGGCACCACCACGCGCGTCATCAGCCCGACCGTAGTAATCTAGAGCCTTCTCGTAATTGTCTTCGAAGTGCTCTTTTCTCGCAAGTAAATACCATCCATCACTTGCGATTGCATTAACGTCTGTGTATTGAATAGCTTTTTGGGCTAGAGCCTCGACATTTGGCATCGATTTGCGTGATAAGAAGTATCCGGCAAAGGTGGCGCAAGTTAAAGGCATGTCCTTATCAGCTTTGTAGGATTTCTGAGTATACTCGGTCATGGCCTTCTTATATAATTGGATGAATTCTGGGCTATTCGTTGGTACGTGTGCGCTCTGGTCGAGGTAGAATTGAGCGAGCAATATATTTGCAACCTTCGAATCCGGGTTTATCTCCAAGGATCGCTCCCAAGCGGCCTTTGCATCTTCCTTGAAACCTAACTGCCAGAAACAACAGCCGATTCCAATTCTTGGATCGGGATCTACCAGATCTGGCATTGAGCGTAATGCTTCTTGGTATCCTTCCAAAGCCTCTGCGTATTTACCCATTGAATATGCAGCCCTTGCCTTGCCCAATACTGCCAACATATTTCTACCGTGTGAAGCCTTGATTGCATCCTCAAATGACTTTTGGGCTCCTCGTAGAAGCTCAGCCTTCTCGGGGTCCAGTGCGCCGGGTGCTGTATTATTTCTCGGGAATGGTCGAGTAGATGCTCGGAGAAGTTGCAAGACACCTCGTGCTAAGAATAGCGGTGGAAATGATGGGTTAATTCGGGAGGCGTCATTCAAATTCGACGTCGCCATTTTCAACCAATCCTCTTTCGTTTTGATCTCTTCTCCATGTTCCACGCTATCTGGCCGATGGCGAGGTGCCTCTTTACTCTTCCATAGGTACATCCAGCATAAACATGTGAGCATGCTGAGTCTCTCCTTGTTACCACCGCGCATAGCAGATTGACCTTTTGTCAACATCTCAATGGCATGATCAACCTTCTTTTGCTTCGCGTATGCTAGTGCAACTGTCATCCAATATGTGCGAGCCGCACCTTCGTTTTCGAGTAATGTACATAGTTCAGTGGGGTCATCGAGTAAATCTTCGAGATCGATTTCGACTGCCTGATCATCATCTTCTCCTGTCACCGGAATATCGATAGCTGAGGGGATGTCGGAAAATCGTTTGCTAATCATTCTTCCATTCGTATTGCTAGCATCATGACCGTTTGCGCCACGATTGACATGGCCGTTTTTGTTCGCAGACATAATGTTGGCTTACTATCCTGTGCGTTGGTGAGTATTTGGACGAGCCTGGACAATTGGCGCAACTGAAGAGCTGTGGAAAGTCGCGTCGAGGATCAGCTTGTTAAGTTAGGGATTCATCGAGTTCAGAACACCAGCATCTGTAAAGTTGGATGTTTCGCGCCGAAAATCGAGGAACATGCAAAGTAAGTCAACCTGAAGCTGATAGTATTCTGTTCTGCTGTATGCAATGCTGAAATACTGCAGATGATAAAACTGAAAGCCTTGGAATACGGGTATTCAGGACAACGCTATAAATAAAGCACGGACATTTATCTGTAAAAATCACCGCTAGTCCCAATGCGGTTTAACAACACCACGATTCCGTTGTTAATTATTAGACAGTGACTTGTTCACTGCCTTCTTTGCAAAGTTTGCAATATAATATGCATTTCATTATGAAGATCTCATAAAAGCAATGACTTGGTACAAAATTTTAATTTCTGTCAATAGACTGGTATACTATGGAATTATCTCTCATGCATCTCTTTCGCTCTAATAAAATACATTCTAGGCAGACGCCTTTTGATAGAACTGAAAAGCTTCTGAGAAGCATTTGTCATGCCTTCGCGTCAAATGCGCAAAATGTTTGTTCCCTTCAGGTAACACCTTTCCATGTGATGCAAACGCCACTAAAAAAACAACATACACGAATTGTACGTGCGAGAATAAGTAACCCACCAAGCCCCTTACACCTCCTTCCATCGTAAATCCCAATGAATCTCATGTATGAGTGTCTACTCATCATCATCGTCATCGTCGTCATCAGTTTGCATACTACTACTTCTGCCATTGGCCGGCTGCTTGTTAAATGTAAGCTTCAACTTTGTGCTCGGCCCGGGTGCTGGCATGGGAGTTCCAGCACTTGTAGTAGGAGCCGTTGAACCGCCGTTGCGCGAAGTCTCATCTCCTTCAGGGCCAAGCTCTGGATGCTCGTTTATTTCGTCTTGAATTCGAGATTCACATTCCTCCTATTATTTGTAAGTACTGCTATAAACATGAAGATTGATTGAACTTACGCTGATCGCAACAGCATCCACATATATCAAGCTACCATCCTCGTTATATGTCTTAGCATTGGTGCAGAGAGTGTCGATATCTTTCTTGAAATCCTGGAGACTATTGTATTCTCTCTTGTTGATTTTCTTTTCAATGAGCTTCATAGCGATTGGTTCCTTGATAATCACATAATAATCTGGGAAATCTTTCTTCGACGGCAAAGAAACAAATGGAAATATGATCTCGCGTGCTGTTTGCTCTCCTTGTGAGTCTGGAGATTCAGGCAAAGATTTCAGGTGCATCAGATGATCAAAGACTATCTTCAAACTGGCCTGGAGAGTCACTCGAGTCTTGGGCGTCAAGATATCTCCGTTAGGGATTCTTGGTGGACGCCCTGGACCACCACGCTTTCGCTTTGGCGGTGGTTGTTCCTCATCAAAATCGTCAGCCTTGCGCTTCTCAACCTTGAAGCCTGGCTTGCGTCCACGTCCCTTCTTGGGTGTCGGCTCAGGTTCGGGTTCAGGATCTTCGGAGCTATCACGACTACCGGCTGGTGAGAGAGGGCCGTTTAATTGACCAGCCTTTCTCTTCTTGTTTCGTTCACGACGGTCTGCTCTAGCTGCTTTACGGGCTGCTGCTGCTTCTGGCGAATCCTCATCGTCGTCCACGGCCATGGTCCATTGCTCCTCTGTGAGGCCATCATCATACTTGACGCGTGTGCGCTCTCTTTGGCCACGACCCACTGGTGCCTCTGGCTCGTCAGATATAGGATTTCCATCAGACATATATATCTCAGGCAGTTCACTTTCTGCCATGAGACGAGGAATACGCTTGCTTTGAGGATTGTTGCCGTATAACAGATGTTTGTTTCTTTCCTCATCCATTTCTCGGAACTTGACAATTTCTTCGTCAGAGCGTGCCAAAATCTCGTTAAGCTCTTCATCATCCATGTCGTCCTGCTCCATAGACTCAGCGGCTTCGGCTGTTTCTAACATAACCCTAAGCATTGCATCACGATCAGTCTCAGAAGATTTGTTATCGAATCTACCAGCTTGAATGACCTTGCCATCCATATCAAGCTTGAACTTTGCTCGTTCCAAGATTTTCTCCTCGACCGAGTTGGAACTGATGAGTCGAAGAATACGAACTTCGTTCTTTTGACCGATACGATGAGCACGATCCTGAGCCTGTAAATCCTGATGAGGATTCCAATCCGAATCATAGATGATAACAGTGTCAGCAGTCTGCAAATTTAGACCGAGACCTCCGGCACGAGTTGACAGCAAGAAGCAAAAGTATTCGGAGTCTGGTGCATTGAACTCCTTTAGGAGAAGCGAACGATCATCAGATTTAGTCGTACCATCCAATCTCATGAATTTGATACCTCTGTAATCAAGGAATTCTCCCATAATGTCCATGATGGCCGTCATTTGGAAGAACATAAGAACTCTGTGCCCAGTTGCTTGATACTTTGGCAATATACGGTCGAGCAACTCAAACTTTCCTGAACTTCGCCATAAGGAATCGTTGATGTATCCCGTTGGATTCATTTGATCCTCAACTTCGCGAAACACGAAAGGATGGTTACAAAGTTTTCGCAACTGCATGATCATGTTGCTCAAACCCCTAGCTCCGGTCTTGCCTCCCTTTCCATCGCTTACAACTAGCTTGTTATGTGTAACCATTTGTTTGTAGAGACGGGCTTGCAAAGCCGAGAATTTACACTTGATAACCTTTTCAGTCTTGTCTGGAAGATCCTTTTCGACATCCTTCTTAAGACGACGAAGTAAGAAAGGCCGCAAAACTTTGTGGAGACGTCTAATAACAAGAATCTGTTCTTCTTCAGTGAGTTCCATCTTGTCTTGACCACCGGTGTTGGCAAAAGGAGTATTAAACCATTCATCGAAAGATTTTACAGACTTGAAGATGGTAGGTAGAACGAAATTGAGCAATGCCCAAAGTTCTGGCAAATTGTTCTGAAGAGGAGTACCGGTAAGAATAAGACGATAGCGAGTAGTGTAGTACTGCGTGAGAGTAGCACTGAGTTTCGACTGTGAGTTCTTCATACGATGACCTTCATCAATAATCATGTGCACCCATTTGATCTTGCTTAGAATTGGTCTGTCCTTGATGATGTATTCGTATGTAGTCAAAAGTACTTGGAAGTTTCCATAACGAAGGTGATTTTGCTGTTGCTTTCTTGTGTTTGGAGGACCTTTATAAACAATCTTTCCAATAGCTGGAGCCCACTTTTCGAACTCAAGAGTCCAATTGGTCAGGGTACTCAACGGAACAATAACCAAGAAAGGGCCGTTCTGTTTTTTGACCTCGATCAAATATGTAAGCAAACTGATGGTCTGAATGGTTTTACCGAGACCCATCTCATCTGCTAAAATACCATTCAGATTGTTGTTGTACAGTGAAATCATCCATTGCAAACCCTTCAATTGGTATTCCTTCAAAGTACCGCCAACAAGAATGCTAGGCTGTTTGTTGACTTCTTCTTTAATGCGATGGGCGACAGCGTAGTAATCAATCTTGCGAGTATCCTGTTCTTCCTCATCATCGTCTTCAGACTCGTCCTCCTCAAAGTCATCACCATAACGCTCGGCTGCTTTTCGTTGTTGTTCCTTAACGGATGCAGCAAGCTGAGACAAGAAACCATCTGTTTGCCTGAGCAAGTGGGTAATACGAGTATCCTTTGCTTGATCTAACAATTTCAGGTATGCTTCCTCGTCGTTTGATTTCAAAGCTGCGAGACGTTGCTTTGCTGTTCGCTCGATGCGTTTTTGTTCTTCCTTTTCGATATTCTGATGTTGAGTTACCATCATACGGCCCAGTTTGACCATCTTTTGCCTCTGGTTCTGGCCAGCCAAGTTGACCTCACGAGCATGGTTGAGGACAGTTTGTAGATAATCAGTGTGCTTCTTCTTCTCCCGAGTTTCACGAGCGTCGCGCTGCTGCTTCTCCAACTTTTCGGTAATCCTAGCTTCCCGAAGTGATTGTTTCTTCATGCGACGATACATGCTTCTGTTGGCCGTCATCGCTAGATTGTCGTATTGAACCATCTGTCTGCCGACTCTCTCACGCAAGGCCTTCTGTTTGTCGTACAATGCTAACATTTTCATCTCAATCAAAGCCTTGCGCCTGAGAGAGTCATCTGGCACCATTTCATCGTCACGTGCATCGAGATGCGCAATATTTGCAGGCAGTGATCTCAATTCATTGAGTCTCGCATTCATGCGATTGTGAATAATGTCGGCGCGTCTTTGACGGAGCTCTTCAATATTGACACCAGTTGGAAAGATAGATGGAATTATGGGTCGTTTTTGTCGAAGTTTGTGCGTACCATAGCTAATTTGTTTCAAAAGTCCCTCACGCGGATCTTGAAATCCAGTGTACTCGTGGATTTTGGGCCCGTCGACCTTTTGAACAGCGGTACTGTCTACTCCATTGACAGCAGAGTGGGCGTCCTCGCCAGGCTGTTGAGGGGTAGCTAGCGCTTGCTCGATCGGCACAGGTAGCTTCTTTTGGGATGCAAATAAATGTTGCTGGGTTTGCGCTGGAATCCCCAAGTTCTTCGACAGGCACTTGAAGGCGTAAATCTGGTGCTTTAGCATAGCCAATTGATCCGGCGAGAAATAGCCAGCACTCCCAGATGGCTTTTGAGATCCAACGACTACCTTAGACGCGGCAGAGCTTGCTGTAGTCGCGGGAATCGCCGAAGGACCAAGTGAGGATGTAGCAGGTATTTGTGCGCCAGAGACAGAGCTCGAGGTAGATAGAGGCCGGACCAGATTCGAACCATTTGCCGTGGTACTATTTGCATTTTGTTGTTGTTGTTGCTGCTGCTGCTGCTGCTGTTGCTGTTGCATCATCTGTTGCTGCTGTTGTTGTGCAAATGCAGCTTTCTGTCGATGCATGCGAAAAGTCGAAAGAGTTTGGTGAACTTTTAGGAATTCGGG